TTCTAAATGTGTAGGATTGAAAGGGACAAACATGAGAACCATGTTAAAAAACAAATATAAAAAGAGAATTAGGTCCACTCCGAATTTTAATGTCCAGTGGCTCCTTTAATTTGTGTATTAAAAAAAAAATCAGAGTTGTTTGTTTGTGTGAAGTGGGCCAATGGGATGAGTTAATGAGAATCGGTCAGATTCAATTTGTGTGGTCCAAATTTTTTCATCTCTAGGCTCTAGACACTAAGGTTTGGGAGTGGGTCATGTTCTTATAAAAAGAAGAAGGAGTTTTTTGAAATGGGTCCAAAGTAACTAAAAATTGGACCTATTTCAAAAATCAAAAGTCACTAAAAATTGGACTTATTTCAAAAGGTAGTCTATAAAATTGGACCTATTTCAAATTTTTCCAAAGAAACAATCCTTCAAATATGCTTTTCTTTTTTCCTTTTTTTTTTTTCAGATCATCATTTAAAATTCTCAACTTATTTCTTGCGTAGCATATTTGAAAAATAAAAAATTCAACTACTTGTATTATTACGCTTGGAGTATCAGATTGTATTTCCGAATATTGAAAAATTTCTCGTGTGAACCCTAGCGACAATAATTACAAAGTTTGTAACAACCCACATGAGACAAAGAAAGTTTGTAACAACCCACTGAAAAAATTCCCGTATGCGGATGTCTTCTTCGTTATTTTTATGCGTGTGAATCTCACAAAGAGTTAGAACTATAATATTATGTCCATATTGTTCGTGCATAAGGATATGTTGGTGTAGGGAAATCCCCATATGTATCTATGTACGTCATGGTGGCTTGGAATCGAAGGGGTTTTGCCTAAGCTAACCTGGTATGGCCGTTACCATATGCATTTGCATCACCAATGACGTTGGGCCAACCTCAAAGATCACATGCATGCATTTTATAATTAAATGAAAATCACGTTTTCAATAATTTATCGAACTTTCCCATCCAATATCGGTACACATATGCTTTGATTGGATTTGTCGCCATTACTAATGGATATTCTTAAAAATTCTCATTATGTCTTATAAAATCAAACTATACATTCCACCTTTAAATTATTTGATAACAGAAAACTGACAACGAAATCGAAATAATGATAAACGATCTCTAAAATTTAACAGTCTTGAAATTATTTAGCAAAATGGGTGCTTTAATAATTATAATTCGAAGGGATTGAAGTGAGCTTTGGCTGCCTCATATGGATCAGTGTACACAATATATGGTTGTATCTTTGAGCAGGGTTTGGCTCCCAGAACCGAAGACTGCAAGTGGGCTGATGAGAAACTGCTAATTTTTGCACTGAAGGGTCTTAGCAGAGGCCAGAGGGCTACAATTAAAGGGAAAAATGGAATTACATGGCACAAGTTTTGAAGGTATAATTATTAGTATGGTATTTGTGATTCGAATTGTGCAAGATATCAGCACAAAACGTGCCATTTTAGTAGTTTTTTTCCTCTCATATTTACCACAAAAGCTTGCAATTGGTTAACTTTTTTTGCTTCTGCAGTTTTGCAGCTTTAAGGGGGAAAGTCACGAAAGGTCATATGTGATTATACTCTCCAAAGGTGAGTTTCGAAGTGTTTGGTTGTAATATGCTCTACACCCGTATGAGTTTAGTCAAATGTTTAACACCAATAGATACATATTAGGGCTCGTTTGATTTCTAGGATTCAATTAGAATAAATAACCCTCTAAATTGAAAGTAAATTAGAAATAAAAGAGAATTACTTTTCTCAAGACTTTCGCGATCAATGTTTAGGTTGAAATCCCACTTTGAAATTTTTTTTCTCTATAATTTTTTTTTTTCTTTTCACAACAAAAACAGTTAAATTAAAGGCCATCCCTGTATAGGGTTCTTTTTCTTAACGAAACTCTTCTGTTTAGTCCTAATGTGTTAGCCAAAACGATGATGAAAGTCTTAAGAAAAGTAATTCTCCTTCATCTAAAGTATAGGGCTCTTTTTCTTAACGAAACTCTTCTATTTAGATGTGTTAGCCAAAACGATGATGAAATCACAATTTTGATCAATTATCATGTCAAGCTCTGAATCACGATAAATACATATGGACACAACCTATTGCAATATTTTCTGAACAAAGTAGTGATAAGTTTGTGACCAAAGTGGTGCGACCATGATCAAAATACCTCACCTCTTGGCTAGCCAAGTCATAGTTCGGTCGCCTTTTTTCATCATTTTGGACCAAGGAAAAAACCCAGGCGTTGTGAGTAAAGAAAGTTGAAGTTCCACTATAAAACCAATTGGTAATATAGGGAGTAGCCCAACCTCTTGGAAGCCCATGCAAGTTCTCTTCTCCTATCAATGTGGGATTAATTCTCAACATGCCCCCTCACGTGTAGCGAATTTTTAAGCCTAACGTGTAAACAATACAACGGGGTGATGTGGAGCACTTGTGGCCGTTTGGCTTCACACGTGGAACAACCTGCTCTGATACCATGAAGAAAGTTGGGGTTCCACCATAAAATCAATTGGCAATATGAGGGAGTAGCCCAACCTTTTATAAGCCCATGCAAGTTCGCTTCTCCCATCAATGTGGGATTAATTCTCAACACGCCCTCTCACGTGTAGCGAATTTTTAAGCCTAACATGTAAACAATAAAACGGGGTGATGTGGAGCACTTGTGGCCGTTTGACTTCACACGTGGGACAACCTGCTGTGATATCATAAAGAAAATTGGGGTTCCACCATAAAACCAATTGGCAATATGAGGGAGTAGCCCAACCTCTTAGAAGCTCATACAAGATCTCTACTCCGTTCAATGTGGGATTAATTCTCAACAGTGAGAACAAAACTTTTGGGGCTGAAAAAAAGAAGAAAAACTTAGCCACTTTTGGTTGGATTGGCACGACATTGTTAGCGGTACAAATCCCAGTTCAGTTTCAGTGGTGCAACAGTCTCCAATACATCAACAGGGTTTGGTTTTATTAGCATGATTGATGATCCACTCACTGAAGGGCCTGAATTGAGCTCAAAATTGCTAGGAAGGGCTCAAGGGTTTAAATTGCTAGGGCTCAAGGGTTTTATGGATCTGCCTCACAAAAAGATGCTGGCCCATTGATGGCCATGAATTTTGCTTTCTTACAAGGTTCCAGTCTTACGACTGGGGATGCTATGGTTGTGTATAACGTCTATGTGCTGCATTACTGATCATGCTTATTTTCTTGGCACACTTAATTTTTTCCTTTACTTGTCTAGCTTGGTTTGTTCTTGTAATATCTATATGCTGATTTTTCATCATGTTGTCCCTTCTAATGATGAACTTTTTCTAGTACAAAACCATACAACTTAAATTGGTAATTAACCAATTTATTATGTCCAAGTGTGCAAGAAATCATCTAGACAGGTACCATTTTGCTTGTGATTTCGGGATGTCCCTGACTGTGCAATAATTACTAGTTTTTCCCTCTCAAATTTTCCCACAAAAAGATGTCCAGTGGTTCACTCGTTTGCTATATATAGTTGCAGCTTTTGGGGAAAAATAAGTCACAATTAAATTAAAAGACCATCCTTGTGCTAAGTAAGATTAAGAATATATTATGCCGTGTAACCGAAATGTATATTTTTATATATACAGACGATGAGAGATGTGTATACAATAAGTTATATGGGGTGTTGTAGGAATGATTCTCTAAGCCACGAATGGCTTCCTTCACTTTCACTCCAAGTTAGGTATGAATACCACTGAAATTTTTCCTATATAACTTTGACTAGAGTAAAAAGAATACAGCACTTTTCACATAGACAAACAGATGAAGTAAGGCTTTGGGTTAGCGGAACATATATATCCGATATTGTGTTTTGTAGAGGAGCATATATTGTCAGTATGCTCATGGATGATGTATATACTATGAAAAAGGGGTGGTGGGTGGGTGGGTGAGTGGGTGCGGGGTTTCCAAAATGGCTCACGGCGTTATTCGTGGAGGAGTTGACGTACCCAATTTCTAAGGTTAGAAGAGGATCCTAATCTGATTTGTTTGATAAATAAAATGCATCTTTTGTACGAAAAGACAAAAGGACTTAGGTCCACCAAAACGGAGAGATCAAAAGTAGATCGTCTCTAGTCAGGGCTATGATTGTAACCCAAAAATTATTTTTCTAAAGAATAGTGCTTGGTTATATTTTTACAGTAAATTCTTATCTTCTTTCATTTCCTTCCCTTACATATTGTTTTTTGTTTTATTAAATTTATATAAAAAAATTAATACAAGATGTTAATGTAATTTAAACATAACTGTTTAAATATGAGGAAATGAAAAGAAAGAGAGATTAAGAGGAGAGACGATCATTCTCCTATATCTTTAGTCTACGGCTGAGGATGGCCTTAGGTCCACCGAACTGATTGAAGTGTATAGAAATTTAGTATGCAAGTATGTGAGTGTGGTGTTAAATACCCGAATTATAATTTGAAATAAAAAATAATTAATTTTTTTATGCATGGATTTAAAGTTTATAATTATTAAAATCTATGCACTATAATTATTAACACCCAGTCATCTCATCATAGTGTTGCATGTTAGTCATGAAAAACTATGCACTATTAAAAAATAAAAATAAAAATAAAACCTATGCACTATGATTCCAGAAGCCTGGAATTATTTCAACCCCTTCAGTACTTTACCTAAAAGGTCATTCTTTCCTTTTCTTTGACAACTTTACCAAACCCTTCTCATAATAACCTCAACACAATTTCCTGCAAAGACAGCACGCCATATACCAATTAGTTGTGTAGTCGTTTTAGAAAATTAATTAAGACCCAATTGGATTAACTTGTGAACAGTTAAGTTAATTATGCAATGCGACAACCTGACCCAAAAGAAACGGAACAAAGAAAATGTTGGCAGCCTGTGGTTGGTTGTCACCATGATGAAAAAAACCCCAACTTGGTCAAGCTCTGTGACTCATTCCACACTATATATGTGGACACAAAGCTACTCCAATTTCCAAACCAAAGTAGTGACTTTAAGTTATAGAGCTTCAACCATGGCTACAACACCTCAAATGTTGGCTACTCAGTTCATAATTCTCTCACTTCTATTTTCTTTTGCCCTAATTCTTGTCCAAGGAGAAGATCAAGATTTTGTTAGAGCCTTGGACCGCAAGCTTCTGGGTCTCAAGAAAGAGAAGTTCAGCCACTTTAAGATGTACTGGCATGATATTTACAGCGGTAAAAATCCAAGTGCAGTAGGAGTGGTGAATCCACCCATCAATTCATCAACCCTATTTGGTTCTGTTAGCATGATTGATGATCCTCTCACTGAAGGCCCTGAGTCGAGCTCAAAATTGCTCGGAAAGGCTCAAGGGTTCTATGCGTCTGCCTCACAGAAAGAAGTTGGCCTGCTGATGGCCATGAATTTTCACTTTAACCAAGGGAAGTACAATGGCAGCACTATAACGATTCTAGGAAGGAACCAGGTGTTCAACAAGGTGAGGGAGATGCCTGTCATTGGAGGCAGTGGGCTTTTCAGGTTTGCAAGAGGTTATGTTCAAGCAAGTACTCATACATTCAATCCAACCACAGGAGATGCCGTTGTTGAGTATAATATCTATGTGCTGCATTATTGATGAAGGTCTTTTTTTTCTTTTTTTCTTGATGGCTTTTGCTTTGTTCCTTTTTTTATTTGGAGGTTGTAGATTCTAAATATGTTGGCCACCCACCATTTCATTTCTTTTCATTTTAGCGGGCGTGGTTGAGTTTACTTTATCAAGTATTGGCCGGCTATATGCATTTGGTTGGTGTCAATAACTCCACAGAGGACGGATAAATGAAAATAAAATAAATTATGGTTCATTGGATGGGAATTGGAATAACTACATAAAGAAGTTGGCTTATTTTTTGCTATGCCTCATGGAATTTCATTTTGATTTCATTTTGTTCTCTGTAACTCTAAAGTCATCATTTTACTCTTTAGAACTCAAAATTTATTTCATTTGACTTGTGAACTCTCTTTTCTCCCTGAAACTTATAAGGCGCCTCCTAAAATATATGTGGGACCAACACTTAATAAGACTACTGTCACATGTACAAAAAATTTGATTATAAATCTCTATTGCACGTTAACATTCAACAATAAGGGAACATTAAGTTTCAAAGAAATTGAAGAGATGAAAAAAATAAAAAAGAAATTGATTAGCCTGACGCACCCTAATTGAACTCCCATAAGAAATTAACAAATCTAAGGTAATGTGGATAGAATTTTGAGTTTTATAGAGACAACTTTTATGTTTCAGAGAGCAAAATGAGGTCGAAATCGAGTTTAAGGGACAAAGTGAAGCAAACTTTGAGTTTCAGGTAGTAAAGTGATGACTTTTGAGTTACAAAGAGCAAAGTGCGATTAAAATCAAGTTTCAGTGGGCATAGCCAAAATAAGCTTAAAGATGTTGACGTTCCACCATAACATTAATTGACAATATGGAAAGTAACTGAAATTACTTACATGCCCAAATAAGGTCCCTCCTCTCAATGTAGCATGCTCACTCACATGTGGAGAATTTTGAAGTCTAACACATGAACAACACGAACATGGTGACGTGGAGCACGTGTGGCTATTGGTCTTTACATGTTGGACTGTTAAATTTTAGGTAGACGGGCCGTGGGCCCACTCCAACAATATCGATACTGTCCCCACTTGGCCACCTGCTTAATCCGTCATGTGTGGGGTTTTAATACAAAAGGCCTCGATGATAGTTAGAGTGGGGTAATTCTATTTAAAGGGCTTGCTCTCAAGTCTTTTGGCCGATGTGGGACAAAGGAATTCTAACATGGACAACCTGCTTTAATACCATAAAGAAGTTGAGGTTCTACCGTAAAATTAATTGGCAATATGGAGATTATATCAACTTACTTATAAGCTCATGCAAAATCATTCATCTCATTGATAGTAAGATTCGGGAGATTCGGATAATGATAGAAAGATCAAAATTTTAAATCAAATGATATAGTTGTAGATGATTGAATTATTAATTAAGTATCGATTAACGTGCTTGTTTATTATTGATGACAAATCATTTGATTTGCAATTTGATGTAAAAATTCTAATCTCCCTAACATTATTCATCTCTCAACAGTATCTGGTATTCTTTCTCTAGCTCTCCCTCATTGGATGGTTAAAAATGTGAAGAGAGAGAGAGAGAGAGAGAGAGAGAAATTAATAAAGAGGGGCATACAACATATTGTATGGTGAAAATGCCACGAGAGATAAATTAAGGCCATCTCCAATTGAGGGCTGGCCAGATGACTTGTTTTAGCCCTTTGGTCCTTCAAGATATTAATATTTTAATGAACAGTACACGGTCATATTTGCCTCTATCTCCAACCGAGGGTCATAGGGCTTGTTTTAGCCCTGTCACAAAAAACCGTCTCCAACTGAGGGCCAAACATAATTTATTATTTAAATTTAAAAACTACAACAACTTAAATTTAAAAACTACAACTTAAATTTAGGAATGGTGAATGAATGGTTTAGGTATTTATAAGAAAAAAAATTAGAATTTTTAAGAATTAAAAAAAAGGCCTAAAATTTTGAATCCAACATTAATTGGCGTCAACTAGTCGTTGGATTCAATTTTTTGTTTAAGCATTCCTGTCGGTTATATCCGACAGGATTGTTGGAATTTCTGGCCAACCTCGGGCTGACTGGCTAGCTACGTGCGGCCAGCCCTTTGGTCCTTTCAGATTTTGTGGGGCTCACAAGCCCTCTGACCTAACCCTCGGTTGGAAACGATTTTCGGACTATTTTCGACCTTCTGATCTTCTAGCCTCTGCACCATTAACACAAAAATAACCAAATTGTCAACTTTTCTACAAAATTTTGTTTAATTCATATGACTCCTCTCCCATCAGAATAAAAAGAAATGGGTTAGGTGAGATCAACCCACCAACCCCAAATTATTCTGTCCACTCGTACACCGGCCTCCTCCTAGAATATTAATCCCAACATTACAGATGCAGGTGGCGGTACATCCATATTGGAGTGACTTAACCCATGATTAATGGGAACAGTCAAGAAAATGAGACATGCCAACTTGTTGGGCTATACAATGAAATTATAACCTTGCAACAAAACTTGCTTAATTGTTGATTGGATCTGGGAAATATTTCTTATTCTCTATAAGATCATATTGTAATTAAACTACCTTAATTCATCGAACGGAAATTAAATTTATGTGCAAAAAGCAGATACATTGCTATTTTAACTAACCTAACACACCAGAGTATTATTATTCTTTTGTCAAGTGTTCATTACTAATTACACTAAATAATTGATTATGAACCAAATTAGCAAATGACTCCGACGATTTATATCACAACTAATTCCTTCTTATTATTCCATTCCAGTCAATAAAGGCAAGTCGCATCATTTGAAAAAGACTTTTGCTTAACGCGGTATCATTGTCCTTCAGTGTACATAAACCCTACAAAACAATCAAAAGCCTTGAAGACATACCAGCAATACCATGGCTAGGCTGTCTCAAATGTCAGCTTTCCAATTCACAATTTTCTCCCTCCTCTCTTCCTTTACCTTGATCTTAGTTTCTGGAGAAAATTTAGGGTTTCACAGCACCGTGGACCGTAAGCTTCTCGGGCTGCAGAAAGAAAAGCTAACCCACGTTCGCTTATACTGGCATGACATTGTTGGTGGGTCCCATCCTCTGCCATAGAGGTTGTCCCAGCACCCTCCAATAAGTCCCAGACGAATTTTGGGTTAGTGAGAATGTTTGATAATGCACTAACTGAAGGTCCTGAGTTGAGCTCAAAATTGGTGGCTAGGGCTCAAGGGTTTTACGGATTTGCAGGGCAGGTGGAGCTCAGCCTCCTGATGGCACAGAACTTTGCTTTTGTTGCAGGTGAGTTTAATGGAAGCACCATAACTTTGCTAGGAAGAAATTCAATATTAAACAAGGTGAGGGAGCTGCCTGTGATTGGTGGAAGTGGGGCTTTCAGGTTTGCTAGGGGTTATGCTGAATTGAGAACTCACACTTTTAATCTCACCTGAAGTGATGCTATCGTGGAGTATAATATTTACGTGTTGCATTATTGATCATGGGTTTTGGAATTTGATTTGGCCATTGCTTGGTTGTAATTGAATTGTGACAAGTTTTTATGTTTTAATGGAATGCTTTTCGATCAAGACTGACTTGGATATCTCTTATTGATATGTTAGTTTCATAGACGGCAGTATTGAATAAAAAGAATTTATTTTGTATGTGATGGAAGGCGGCACTTGAACAAAGCATTTTCCTTTTGAGAAAAACCACTATGTCCCCTTTGTATGCAGTATATTGTATATAGGATATGCCATTTTCTCTCTAGCGATATGAGACACCAGAGTTTTGACGGAAAACCTGACCTATAGAGAGAAACAAATAATTTCAAACTCACTTTAAATAAATAAATAAATATATATAGACTCACATGTCACATACAATTTCAGCCAATATTATAGAGTGAACTTGTTGACCATCAAACTACTAAGCCTACGTGGCGCACATGCCGATTAACTAATGAGCTAACTGCATCATTCTGGTGAATGAGAGCCTGTCAAACTTGAAGTAATGTTGTTAATCCAAACTGAAGAACTTCTCGACTGCCTGATTCTACAGTTCTTAATGTTGTTAATCCAAACTGAAGAACTTCTCGACTGCCTGATTCTACAGTTCTAGTTCTGTTAATCTAAATTGAAAGTGTTGTTGGTTTTCAACACAACGATGTTACTCCAAACTGAAGATGTGGTGACGAAGTTAGGGTAATTAGTAATTTCTCAGAGTGTGAGAAGAATTCGCATAGAGTGAGGTCTTGCGCAGAGGGTTTGTGTGTTGAATTGAAAGTTCTCTCTACGTTGCAAATACCTTATATTCATAGAGACGAATTCCTTGATGCCAAAGTCTACCAAATAGCACAATTCTAATTATATTTTGATTCTTCGGCATATTCTTAGAATAAACTTGAAATTATTCTCGACCAAAAATCTATCTCTGCCTCGCCTTCTTCAACTCAAACAAGGATTTTGAACCTAATCTTATTATACAGTTAATTCAAACTCCATCCAAATGCCAATCATGATCCTCAAGCACTTTCAATATAATTGTCAATCACCCATCAGATAATACCATATTATCAAAAGCATAATAACATCTAATAAGTTACCTAAAATCATCTTGACCTTTTAATTTTGCGGCTCCAAACTTATTGGCCAAGTACAAAATCGCGTACAAACAGAACTTCTACGAAATCCATCGTAAAACTTATTTCCATTCACGTTCCGCCGCACCATAATTTTCTTAACAAACATGTGGGGAATCTTGAAGAATTTTAGTACCCCGGATATCAATTTAGAGCTCATGTAGTATTTCTCTATCATTTATTCTAATTTATAGATTAAAAAAATATCGTAAACAATATTTTGGGAACTTAATAAATGCTGAGAACACTTCTAAAAGGCTTACAACATTTTCCATAAAGCTCATGAAAAAGTCTCTTGATAAAAATCAATGATGATACTTTTCATGAAAACGGTGAGCAAACGGTAACCAATTTTTTAGGACATACTTGGTATTCTACTTGAATCTAACTTTTTAAATTCAAAAATAATTTTCAAGTTTTAGACCTTAAAAACTTGTTTGATATGACTATTTTAAAATTTTGAATTCAAGACTAACTCAAAAATATAGTATATTCTCTAAAACATAAAAAATGAGTTTTTAGGGTTTTCAAACTTAAACTCACTCATTTCTTTTCTCTCCCTCCTCCCCTCTCACTTCAAATTTATCTTTCTCTTTTTTCTTCTTTCA